TTCTAAACTGATTATTCGGTCTGTTGGTCGATACTTTTTCATAAATTGTTGATACGATAAATAATGGACTTTAGGTGTGCTATTAACAGTAGTGTCATCATGATCAAGGACGATGCACTTATAACGTAATGACATTGACTATTTTTGTTTTAATTATTTTTAATATTTTTTAATGTTTTTTATTACATTTTTTATATTTTTTTGAACATAAAAACATTAAATGAATAAACAGAATAATTAAATGTTTTTCTCTTTTTACTGAAAAATTATAACTTTTGTTTTAAGTAAACAAATTAAAAATATAAAGTTATAATAAACATGTTATTAACAATACAAAAAGTTATAATTCATTAAATTTTTGAAAAGATAAAATAATAACTACACTTAAAAATTTAAATAAACTTTTGTTATCTATAAACCTAATAAATCAATTAGTATTGTCTGAGTGATTGGTAAGAATGTTGTCATATAGAAAATTAAACGAATTATTTTATATTTCATTGTTTGTTTTTTTAATGAAATAAAATAAATTTAATAATTCTAAATTAATTTATATTTTTTAATGAATCTTTCTTTTTTGAAAAGAAGATGATTTTAATTATTTTCTAAAAATATTGTTATTAATTAAATAAATATTTTTCTAGTTAAATAAAAACATATAAATCATCTCTTTATCATTTTCTCATTATCTCTATTATTTTTTCTATAACAATTTTATTATAAATTTAAAGTTAAATTTTTTATGACTATATCCTTCGTGCATTTACTTGTAGGTTATAGTCAATATTGTTATTGATAGTATTAACTGTGTTTTAAATAAATATTTTGTATGAATTTGAAACAATTAATACATTTTAAGATTTTTATTTCAAAAAATAAAAAAGTCAAAATAAAAAAAATAAAAATTCATCATTAACAACACATGAACACTCAACAATGCAATGAAATTCTTAATAACCAAATTCAAACAATTGAACAACTAAGTAATAACAGTTTTGAAGAAAAACAACGTGAACTCGAAACGAAAAAGAAAAAAGAAGATGAGTATTTACATAGTGAAGAGTATCATAAGAAACAACAAGAAATCAGTGAAAAAAAAGAAAAGATAAAAATGTATGATGACTTAATTAATAAAAAGAAAAAGATTGAAGAAGAAAAAGGAGTGTTGGATGAAAAGAAAATCACATTAAAATCAATGAAGTTATTAGAAAAAATGTTGCAAATAAGTCATAACGTTGAATTGCAATTATCACTTATCAATTCAAATACACCTAGTTCAAAAATAATGAAAGATTTATTAACAATATTAAAAGATTATCAAGAAATGATAACTAATGAAACAATTGAAATTCCTAAACAAATGAACTCTTTATATTCACAGTTCATTCTCTCTTTTCAATATTATATTAATCAATCAAATTCTATTATATCAAATAGATTAATAAATTATTTAAAAGCAAAAAAATTCCCATTTGTCAAAATAGAAAAACAAGAAGAATGGGAAATTATTAAAAGCGATTATCAATTTTTAAGAAACATTCATATACTACAACCAGAATTAAATGATGTTTCGACTAATTCATTAATGGAAAATTCAGTTTTAAAAGTTCAACATTTGTTTCAAAGAGAAGAGAGTAAATTATATCAACCTACATCTCTAGACTTAGTTCTTCCTTATATTATTGAAACTATTGAAAATGCTGAACAACAACTAAGTGATAATAAAATTGAATTTAATTCATTAATGACACCATTTATTCCAATTCTTAGGTTTAGAATGTTAAAAGATATCAAACAATTACCTGGTCTTTATGTTTTAATGTTACTTGATTATATATTTAAATATATTGAAAGATATCCTTCACTATTATTACTACTTAAAGAAAAGGATATTTGTGATGATATTAATATTGCACTAAAAGAAAGTGCAGATTTAAAAGTAGAATATATAACAAAAATGGATAATAATTTATGGTCAATTCCTCTGCATAGAGGAGGTGGAGAATTTATGATGATGTTGAATGAGGCAGTAAGTTTTTGTTTAAAAGCAGGAACATTTGCAAATGAATTAATTGTTAGCTATGTATTTGAAATGGTTATAAAATTTGAAGAATATATGAAAAAAATAGAAATGACAGGATTAAAAGAAGTTTGTGGTCTTGCAAATTCATGGAAATTATTTGGTGAAGCATTAAAGAAAAATACTGAACGTATGAAAGAAAAGAATGTTAGTTGTTCTATTTTATTGTCTAGAATAGATGAATATGAAAAAGAAGCAAAAAGTGCCGTTTTAGTAATTGTTGAAGATATTGACCGTTTATTAGAAGAAGAACATTATTCAACATTTAATGAAGCAGTTGAAAGTTCAATTTATTTACGAAAAAGAAAAGAAGAAATTCAATCATACTTACATCCATCATTATACAATTACTTCACAGAGAAAATAAATGAATAATTATCATTCTTTATTAGTAGTTTAAAAAATAGGTTTCAAATATAGTTTTTTATATCTTCAAACAAATTTAGAAGAAAGATTAATTTATTAAAAAAAATCAATATACTCATTTTTTTGGAATGTGCATTAAAGATCAACAATTTCTCATTTGATTTGAATTCCTAAATTTGTTTCATATTTTCCAAAAATAATAAAAGAGGAGCATTTTATTATTTTTTATTGAAGGGAAAATTATGAAACAACGCGTAGAATAGTTTAGAAGCAGTTTTGTGTTTTTTTCAAACACTTTTCCTCTTCAAGAATACGTTTTGATATAAATAACTCACCAAATAAACAGAAAGAACGAAAAGATGGAAGTTATCCTTTGAACTGAAGTGCACAGTTGAACAGTAGGGAACTATGGAAAAATATTAAACAAAGATTCAAAATAGAAAAAAAAAGTGCATTTCTACTATTTATTATTTCTATTTAATAATTGACGCACAGAGAAGAATATTTCCACACATAAAATGGAAACTAAAATAAAAGTATTTTAAAACATACAATTCAAATCAATCTATCAGTTAGAAAATAAAAATGTTTCTTTAAATTAAACAGAAAATCAGGATAAAAAAATTCTAAACTTCTATTGAAATAAAATTAGAAGAAATAAGACTATTTAAGGTAAGAACTATTATTCCTTTAATCATTTCAAATGCAGTCATTAAGTGTTTTTAGACCTTCTCATCCAAAGTTTTATACTGTTATTGGAGAATCAACAATTCCTAATTCTTTTGAAAGTTCTGATGGTATTAAAAATAGAAATACTAGAGAATGGGGAGATATAATGACCACTTATGTTATGCTAAAATATAGAAAATGGCAAATAAAAGATAGAAGAACTATGTCATTACATTCTTTCCATCATAGATGTTCAGAAGAATTATTTAATGATTTAGGAATTAATAAAACTCCAACTCAAATAAGAGATAAAGTAAATAATACTCGTTCATCTTATCATGCCTTAATTAAACAATTACAAAAAGAATCTTTTAAGTGGACCCAAGAGAAACATTATAGTCTTTCAAAACCAGTATTTGATTTTATGTCAACTTTTTTTGAAAGTAATAATACAATAACATTAGATCAAATTAATCAAAAAATTGCTGAAGTAATTCAACAAAATAAATCTTAAAATATTTTTACAATTAACTCATTCATGTGAATGTTTACTGTATTATTCTATTTGATAGCTTCTTTTATTTTGTTGGTTCTTTGGACGTTAATTAAAAAAAAGTAATTTATAAAAGAAAGATTTCTTAATTAAGGAATAAATTATTTTTATTTTATTTTTTAAGATATTTCGAGTTTTAGAAGTATTTTAATAATAACTAAGATTAAGAATCATCGTATTCAAAAATAATTAAACAAAATTGGTTTCAACAAAAATGGAGTATACCTAAAAAAATTGACTTACTCACTTTTTAATATGATTAAAATTTGAACTTTTAAATAAATAACATTAATAACTATTTTTTTCTTTACAATTCTTTTTTTACATTTTAGATATTTCTTTTTTTTTTTCTTAAAAACTTTAAATAAAACAAAATATATTTCTTAAATGAACAATTATGGTTTGTATCAATTGTTTCATTTATATCAGAACAAAAATCTTCTTTTCTCATTAAAATAGCTCTTTCTATTAAAGGTGGAAATGTTTGTGAAGTTAAAATAAAAGATAAAAATGTGTTATGTATTAATACAATCGCATTAATCCCTTCAAAAACAGGAACAAATTCTATTACAATTCGTATGACTACTAGTTCAGGTAAGTCTGCTTTTATTTGTAATTTAAATGAACAATCTAATATGTATCAAACACAAACAAAACTAGAATTCTTTGAAAAGGAAATTGTTTCTTTTGAGGCTTTTGGTACGGGAGAAGTTCATCTGAGTGGTGTACTATTTTTCTTTGACTCAAAAAAGGAGAATTGATTTATTTATTACTTTCTTTAATCTCACTCTCATTTCTCTTTTTTTTTTAATTATCATTATTTCAAACATACTCAAAAACCCCTTTTTCCTTAATAAAAAGTAATAATAAAAGAAAAATAAAAATTTAATAATAAAAACCCTATAATTTCAAGAAAAAGAGAAAAATAATAAAGAAAAATTGAAAATGAAAAAAGAATATTAGATTGAAGATTTGATAATGAACGAAGAGGTTGAGTATATATATGATGATGTCGAATTAGAAAATAATGAAGTCACAATACTAGAATACAAACCTGGTTGCCAAGAGTTTGGAGGGTTTTGTAATAGAAATGAATGGATGTATTTAATTAATGATAATATTATGTTATTATATTCAATACAAGACAATGTCATTATTGATCAAAAAACATTTACTAGTAATATTGTTTGTGTCGAATCTTTCAATAAATATCTTTTCATTGGTTTAGAATCAGACACAAAATTAATTGTAATTAATTGTGAAACTAGTGGAACAATCAACATCGAACTTTTTCATCCACCTTTAAAATTATCAAATATTGGATTATATCCTCAAGGTCTTCAATTTTTAGTACTTAGTGAACCATTCAAAATTGATGGAGTTGTTCTTTCATTACCTGAAGGATCTTCTCATTGTATACCTTTATCTTTACCAACATTTCAAGGAGGGACATTGCTACCAGATGAAAAAGAAACTGTAAGAAAAAGTATTCGATTATCAAAAACACCAGTAAAAGCTCCTCATGTAAGAACATCACTTACTGGAGAAAAACCTTATGATATGAATTTTATAATTTTACCAGAAGATGTTCATGTTTTTCGATTAGATGGTAAAGTTATCACAATTGGAACTAAAAATGGATTCTTACTACAGTACCGATGGGATAAAAATATCGAACTTGTAAGTTCACAATTTATTGTTCCTCAATGTAGGAGTATTGTAGGATGTAGTATACACAAAGAATTTTGTGTTTGTGCATCTATGAAAAGAGACAAAGATGCATGGGGAACAGTATTTCTCACATATTATATTTTCACTGAAGATGATATTAGTGCGTATAAATGTTATGAATATGTTGGGTATGAATTTGTATCTATTGATTGTGTTAAAGATGAAAAAGGTACAGTATACTTTCATACAATTTTATTAAATTTAAAATTTGGTAGTTATGAATCAATACTTTATGATCTTCAATTTAATTTATTCTCTCAAGTACGTTCTAACGTTCTAGGAGATAGCATTATTATTAATTCTCGGTATGAACCATTTTCTGAATGCCCTTTTAATGCTTCCTTTTTAAGTACTATTGGAATAAAAGAAAATTTATTTTTACCTAAAACAACTTGTATTTTGTCACGAAATCCAGATACTAATAAGTATCGAGTTCAAAGGTTATTATCAACATGTAAAATATTAGATGAATTTAGACTTTATCTCACTGAAGGTTTACCATATTTCTTGTTATATAAAGAAGTCCCAAAAGAAATTCTTGAAAAATATATAGATTTTCCAAAAAAGTTAAAAATTGAACGTCTTCTAAATAGTCAATATGATAAAAAAACATTATTTACTGAAGAAATAGCAATGATTTTTGAGTTTGATGTTTTTGATGCAACATTAGACTTAATTGAACAAGATAAACAAATATCAGATTCTCATAATCAACTTATTGATCAAAATAAATTATCATTAATGCAAATGATTATCTATAACCATTCTATTAATTATATGTCATTTGTTCATACTCTTTTTGAAAAAGACTCTATTAGAACTGTAAGAAAAGAAGAAATTAATTTTGCTCATCGTCGGCTAGAAAAGATTCAAGACTTTTTTCAGTTATTAGAAATGGATCAATCATTAATGAAAAAAGATATTGCTATTTTATTTCTATTACAACAATTTTATCCATTTTTTGATAATTTTCTTGATGCAAAATTATTACAAGTTGGTAGAATTATGAACTACATATGTAATCATATTAATTATCATACTGATAACGATTTTTGTTCTCTTATTAAAGATGGGTTTAACTTTGGAAATGAAACACTATTTGCTTGTAAACTTCGTTACATTATTGAACTCGACGAAATTAGAAATGATTTTGACCCTAATGCATTCTTTCCATTTTTACGAGTTGCTGTTGATGAAAGAGTACATCTTCTTGGTGGATCATTTTATTGTTTTGATTTTTTACGTAACCAAAATGATAATGGATACGCATTAGAACTTTTTAAGTTGTTTGTCAAATACAAATGTTTCATTAAAGTAACTTATAGGTCAGAACTTCCAAATTGGATCCATAACTTTATCGAGGAATTAGTAAAGACGAATATTCTTTCAAAAGACTTGGCACATGAATATATTGATTACTTAACTGAAATGGTACAAAAGGCTCGTGCTCTTGTAGGAGATTCAGCCATTCCGTTGGTCGTAGAAAATGATGACATTTTTGGTATTAATGATGAAAAACAATAAATAAAATGTAACTTTCGATTTTTTTCATTCACTTTCTTTTAGGTTTTCTTAGATTAAATTTCTAGTTACAATTTTCTTTTTATTTTTATTCTATTATTTTAAAATTTATTATTCTTGCTTCTCACAGGATTAAGTCCTATTCCTGACAAAGAAAATATATTAGGTATAAATATTTACTTACTGTATAAACCAAGACCATTCATTAAAATACTTGATTATTGGTTTATTGTTTTTCTCAAACAACTATCGAATCAATGTCAAAATTAAATTAAAATTATTTAAATAGAAAACAATTATATTGTATAAAATAATACCTGGATTAATTTCTATTTTAATTGTAAAACACAATAATAAAATAATAGAATTAATTATTTTTATCTATTTTTGGTTGAAAATATTTAATTTAATTTTTTAGTCTCATTTCTATTACTATTACTTAACCACATTTTAACTTGAATAATAATTTGTTCACAACCACACTCCTCTTCACATCCAATAATAATTTCTATTTAAATTTTCTTGATATTTTAAAACAAAGAAAATTATTGAAAAGTATCCAAAACCAAAAGAAAAGTTTAAATAAATTACATTTTGTCTTATTGATTCATATTTAATTATTTGTTGGTTAGTTTTTTGACTTACTTTGATTTTAAGTTTTTTGTTAGTGATATTTATTTTAAATGACAGATAGTTATGTTTAGAGAAGTGAATAGATGAAATGAATTAATATTTACAGTCTTATTGAGTTAATTATAATTAGTTAAAAAGAAAGAGTCATGAATGAATAAAGTGGTATTAAAATAATAAATTTCTTAGTATAAAATGACCTTCATTAGTTATTTTGTATACACCACCAATGATTTCTAGATAATGAAAATATTTATGCTGTTAAATATTAGAGTATGAAAAGAAAACACCTTCAAGTTTTCTTTTTCTATGTCGAATGAAGTGTTAGATTTCTTATAGAAGAGTAAAAGAAAAAAGAGTGATAAATGAAAAATATTAGAGTCAATGTCTTTTTGTTTGTACATTTTAGTAACTTAGCATTCAAAATCAAAATGATACTGAAGGTCATTCTGTTTTAAGAAATTTTGGTGGTAAGAGGGACGACGACTAAATGCCATAGGATCTTCTTTTAGAAATAGTTGAGGGGGATAAGGTCTTTGAGAATGATTTTTTAGAGTTCTAGAATATGGAACATCAAAGTTATTAGGTAATTCAGAGTATTGAGAAGGTTCTCCATATCGTTTGACTATAATTTCATTTCTGACATAATCTACAACATCAAGAATTGATTTGTCACACCAATCTTGATGAATTTTTTTGTCTGATTGGAACAATACACAACCACATTTCTCACATTCAATAACTTTCTTATCGCAACTTCCATTCATATGACGATTCAATGACAATAATTCACACTTGATATGACACTGAGACATGTTTCAATTGAGTGAAATTTGGTATGTTCTTGTAATTTGTCTTTAGAGTATAGTACACAACAGGACATTTGTAGTATTTTTACATGAGATGATG